AAAAGTTGTGTGGTGATCAGACGAAATTCTTCTTTGTTAGTCTTGAACAGTCGCGACTGCTTTCCACAAATTACAAATATACTTTGATTTCTGTGAAAACACTCTCCGTATCTGCCCCAAAGATCAGTTAATATGACTGAAATAGTGCGTAGACATGTGCCTTGTGGTTTCCCCCTTCCCGAACCTTGGTGAAATACTTCTGTAATTAATTGCGTTATGAGAAACGTTTGACCACCATCATTTGATATTTGTAAGCACTGTAAAGCATTTCTCTCTTTTAGGATATAGGTTAACTACCTCAGTCTGCCCATCCAATGCCAAATTTAGTGTTTAAAGTGGTTTGCATAAGTGATTTTACATATGTCAAAACTGTTATGTACTTGTGCTTACGAAAACAAATTGACATCATACTGCTAACTAGGTTGTCCGTCGAAAAGCACCGTACAAATTCTGAGTGGCACGCATTTGTCGAAATTGGATAAAACCCAAGATCTTCGGTCAAATTATGTCGTATGTAACTGGAGATAACCTGCTATTCTTGGTAATGTCAAAACCTTTCATGAAATAAGTGAGGTGATCACTACAGTGAGGTTGCTCAGAACCTTTCTCGCTTGGAGTGTTGCTGGGAAAACGTTTAATGGAACTGTGGGAGAACCAGGAGCAGTAAGCGCTCACCTCACTGGTGCTCTAGTCTTCGAAAGGAACTGTACCGGAGGCGCTCCCCACTGAAACTTCTTGAGGTTCATCTTGGATCTCAGGGGCTAATAACTGTGTCCTGCATTATAGTCTTAAGACGTTTATAGGTGAAAAGCTGACTTGAACCGAAGGTTTTAATGTTTCCCCCCCAAACGCTCCGAAAAGGAAACGGTGAAATCTGTGGGCCTTACAGGCTGTGGAGAAACATTTTTGAAAACCCTTCTTTGCATAGTTTGCTTACGAATGCCACGATTAAACAAAGGGTGGAACCACCCCATGGTGGTCTACACGATTTATGTGGCACAAAGACGACTTATACGCAGCGTAACTTCAAAAGTTGTTACATTTAGGTCATTCTATGTACAACGTCTGAAATACATCGAAATATCCCAAAATGTGCGATTACTTCAACACAGTTCAAGATGGCTGGGTATAAAACAAATGGCTTTGCCTGTAGATAACTGTGGTAAAGACTAGGGATCTGTGTGAAACGTGAGAAACACAAACACAAGGGATTTAAAATTTCATGGCGGCTTCCCAAAGTTAGCGTTATGATGTAATCTGTGCATTTTAAAGCACTGGTCTGCGTAGATTACCCTCATGAAGGCATTTACGACCTCAGTTTGACTGCTTGTCTTTCTCCCGAAAAATCGGACTGCCGCGGGCAAAAATTGCGTAGCCATGGATCAAATTTTCACTGCTTTGTGGGTAAACTATTTGGCCTTCCGTAAATAAAGAATATTTCGTGGATAAACTGCATACCAGTCAAGGTGAACGGTTCAAAAACCTACTCCACGTGCACTTTGTTCTTCAAGTGGCCATCTGAGGTGGCAATCAAATTTCCCATAAGCAACAATCTCAGGGTCTAATAGACCGAGCTTTTGTCCCGAAAACATTCTCCGTGATGATGTGACCAGTAAGAGGAGTAAGTTGTGTACGTACCTTTCCACTATGCTCGTAAATGCAAGTGGAACTGATAGCCAGTGAGAAGAGTTACGGTATATATACCCAAACATGCAATGGAAAAATAATAAGAAAACGGCTCCCTTTAGACAACGGCCGTTTCTTCCGTAGTTGAATCGCTACTAGCAATATTACCCGGTACTACATAATTCCACAGTCGAGCATACAACTACCAGAAACAAAACGAACATAAGAAAATGTACCTCCAGATGGTTGAAAAATTCCCGCACCAAAAATAAACGACAGAAACCAGACAAAACAGAAGTAATGGGTGGCCACTGGAACCCACAAGTGTCTAGCAACTCTCACTGTTCATAGTTCCAACCAGATAAGGCAGTCGAGATATCAAGGTCCACAAGCATACTCAGGGATGGTAACTGTAAAATCACCTACTGCTCAAGCACTTTTACAAGCGGTAGCCTGCTGGATACCAGCGTGTTCTGCCCACTGGACAATTGCAGGTGGCCTGCGGGTGCAGGATCCATCAAAAATAGTTATAACGCAGTTCAGGACGTGCATTTTGTCCTGCTTGGGATTCGTCAGCTGGGTGTGCCTGCACCCCAGTGAGCGGAATTGTTTCCGCTGAGACTCGAACCCAGTACCCATCTCTTTAAACGTAAAGGAGCCACCCACTAGGCCACTGGGGCACGGCGGCCACCACTTGTACAACCGGTATTAGTCGTTACGATTCCCTGACACTTTTGACTGCCCGTTTTCACTCTCAGTACGGCTGTCTGATAGTTTACAGGGGAGTAAAGTGGGCTAGTATTCAACGGCCATCGATCATTCATAGCACCTGGAAATGTAAGAACCGTTTTACAAGGTCACAAAGTTCACGCCACGGATGTTTGATACCACGTGACGAGCTGAGAAACTAAAAGGCAAGGGGCCTAGTTTTGACTTTACCCTTTACTCTCCCCAATTTTTTGAGTCCTAGGTAGATAAGATTCAGATCTTGCAGTATTTATATCGGCAGACACCTGATGTGCTAGATGGAGGCCCGAAAGTACGGAAATATCCTCTTTCAACATCTTCTACCGTTATTGATCAAGAATGGGTTTCTTTCAGTTGGAAGATGGAGGTATCCGAAGTTGTGTACTTTTAGGTCCATCCCTCTGGGAAGAGTGCTAATTCCTAGTTTAAAAGAAGTTTGAATGTAAGCGCCGTTTAATGTTCTCACTGGGATCTAGTTTACACTACTGTTTGCCATGTTCCACTTATCTTACGGATAGCGCTCATCTACTATGGAATCACCATTTTCCGTCGGTGACTGAATATCAAAAAACGGCCCTTGAGAGCGTATATATGGGAGTAAACATTGTTATAAAATGCAGATTAGTTTCTCATGAGCCATTTATTGCTATGATGCTGGTGATGAATTGCTCAGGACTTACGTGCCGAAGGATTCGCCGCTGTTTGGACTGAAGAAAGTTGATGCAAACCAAATGTGACTCCAATAGTCTGACTGAATGTGACGACTGGACCAAGTAAATTGAAAATAAAGCTTCTGTACTTGCCACTGTCCTCGTCTGTCCTTCAACGCCCATGAGTTGCAGAGACCCCTTGGTCATTTGTTTCGTTCGATTTCATCTAGCTTGTTTATAGAGGCAAGCTGAAGATCACATTTCGTTTCGCGGGGCCGTTGCATCTTTTTTCTGTCATAAACCATGTAGCCGCTAAACCCTAGGGTATACAACTAAGTGTGACAAATTTGAAGGCATGGAAGAGTTGCTACGGGGTTTCGTCGCACTCTGGAAATGCACTACCTATTCGGGTTTGAGTATCCTGGGATCAGTCGTTAAGGTTTTTCTGTGAGAATTAAGAAACTGGCTTCCTAATTGTGTCCTACCAGATGGACCGGACCCATAGGCTTACGGCAAGCTTAGCCCCCTCTGAAACCTTCAGTAAGGCTGAGCGAAGACAAGGGCCTGCAAGCCACAAGTCGCATGCGTAGTGCGAACGCTGGCAGTGTGGTTAAACTCCCGCTGAGGGTAAAGGACTTTTCACAGGTGTCTTACTGCTTTAAAGAGTCCTATGGGGCTCGAAAGGGAGTTCACATCCAGTCTCCTGTCATTTACAACCCTTAGTAGTGGACTGTCATATCGTTTTATACCTTTTTCACCAGGCTGTGCCGATGATATAAAGATCTGAAAGGAAACTGGTAGCTGGTGCGTATTGGTTCCCTCCAGGAAAGTTTGGCGAAAGTGTTTTGGTGGACGTAAGAGGAAGTTACTTTCGATAACGTAAGTGGTTGCAAACTGACCACAAGAGTGGGGATAAAGTCAGCATTTCACACCTTGCAAAGGGTCTGCGTCACCTCATTCTGCTACGCAGGGACCTATTGATGTCACTTGTTGCAGCTTTCGGTGTTTCTATGCGCTGCCAGTAATCTGCCAATAAGTCTAGTGGCAACCCGGAGTATACCTCAGAAATTTACGGAGCCGAAATTCATAATGGTGCAACAGTTTCAAGCTAGTATATCTGCAGAGCCCAGCAAACTATGTTATGAATTTTTATCTTTTATCGGCTTTTTATTCACTGCTGACTCTGATCGAACGATGAATAACTCCCAATTTGCTTGTCCTAGTTTACACGCCTCGCTCGTTCGCCAGAGTCCTTGGGATAGGTACGCGTGCTGCTGTCGCTGCATCCCTGCTTACTGTGTTGTGATCGTCTGACGTAAACGTTCTGGGCATTGGCCGTAAGCCCCGGGTCTAAAACTCGATCGCTGTTGTTACGTGGTTAAAAGAAATAAATTGTGGTGAAGAAATCAAGAAACATAAATACGAAATCAGCCTACTAAGCCCTCACACTTACTCCTTCCAATTTAATTGCATCCATTTCCAATTTGCACTCTGTATTTCTGGGTAGGATGTAGCTAAATTCATATATGAGAACAAAATATTTCTTAATAATTATACAGTTACATTTAACCATTTGTCCGATTAATTCTAACTGACCACTTTGAACTTAAGCTTCGGATTTCATCAGCGTGCATACCCTGTTTGGAGTTGAACATAAAAGTATCTACGAAGGACTTCCTGATGTCCGCTTTGTAGCATGAATTTAATGGCCATGGAATTACCTTGATGAAGACCTAATGCTTGCTACATGACCTGAAACTTCCAAATGGAAGCTAGGGGTCTACTTGGGAATCATTGAAAGCAACGCAGAGTATTACCAATGTATGATGCCCAAACGTGGTCTTCAGTGAATACCAATCAAGACACCAAACAATTACTGACGTTCACTGCACTTGTCAAAAGTATTTTACAACCAAAAGTCCATATAGTTGTAAGACGGTTCTAAAGAAACGTATGTTGAATATTGAAAGAGTAATAATTGAGTGCTGCGAGTTTGACTCCCAGCGCTTCGACGGTGTCAGCTAATGCTGGAGACCAGGGTATCTATGTAGTGAGTTGGTTTGATTAGAAACTTTTATAGACAAACGTTTGGATATTTAGAATCTTTCGTGGTTAGGTGGATTGCTTTTTGATAAGTCTCAGTAGCAGTTTTTACTAAATGTAACTACACATTTGCAGTGTTAAAATGTATTACTGATTGCTGATAATAACCAATACATGTAGTAAATTAGTAGCTCTTCTTAAAGGTTTACAGGTAAACTGCGGGATTGTAAGGGGAAGGAGTCAGGGTGAGAGATGGAGAGTAAAGTTGGGATGGCCTGTAAGTATGAAACTATGTCCTCCAACAGGGAATTTCAAAGGTGCAAAACACAATGCAAAAAGTGAATTTTCGAAAAAGGATGACGAATTTGAAGTGATATCACCTCAAGTGACCAGTTCTAACGAGGAAAATATGTACAGTAGCAGATATCACTTAAGATAGAATAATGATATGACGTCTCATTCGAACCAGTCAACCTACTACCTTTTCATAGAATAAGCTTACTGAGTTTCTTACCATTTTATTCCTTTTCTAACGTGTTTTTTACACTTAAAACATGGTTTTTGTTCTCTGTTGCAGTTTATGTCGGTGTAATATCCGTGAATGATATTGAACAACTATTTGTGGTGCTTTAATAAGAAACTAGGGCTGTGTACCAGTTGTGTTACTATTCCATAACGTCTGACCAACCTTACTTGTCTTGATGTGCTCTTTTACGTACTTAACCAGTACCTTAACGCGTAAGTACTGATAACGAAACAAATCAAAAGAACTGGTTTCAGGAAGATATTCGAAGAAGTAAATCTATTTAATTAGGATAAATGTAATAGTAATGAATAGGAGAATAGTCCATGCAACTTATTTGGCTAGTATGGCTGAATTAGGGACCTTGAGTACGTGAATGCTAACCAGCACAAAGGGAGCACGCATTCGTCGAGTACTCATGCAGATTGTTATGACCAGTGTGTATGACTACAGACATCCTCTAACTCTTCAATGACTATATGATATACCAGTTGAGTTTTTAGGTGTTATATGGCTATCCCGTCGCCACCGCTAAACAATTCTTCAGAGTTTATCATCATATGTAAACATAAAACATGATAAATTGTTTCCTAATGCCATTTGACTGATGTATGGTGAAAATAGAAGGGCGCTCAAAAGCTTTAAAAAGCGCTAACAATTTATCACTTGCTTAAACACCTCGCTGGGTACTTATAATATTGTTTGATGGACAGCTCTACATACTTGCTATTGTATGAAAAACCTCGTCCTTTGTCAATTGGAGAATTCACGTTGAAATTAGGCATAGAATGCGGTATGCATAAAACTCTCGACTGGTCAAAATGTGGGCAAAAACAGCAGCATTTTCGCATAACAATGTACATCCTAAGTCCACCCGAAGTTCCACAAGGAAGCCCTTATCTATATGACAGTCACAGCAGTTTTTCTTACTTGACTATCGTCATTTCTTTTGCATCTGCCTCACACCTTTCCTCGGAGTATCACAGTAAAAATAAGTAAGGACTTTGGGTAGTGTTCGGAAGTTAGTAGTTGTACCGTTAGTTACTTATATATATATATATATATATATATATATATATATATATATATATATATATATATATATATATATATATATATATATAGCCTCAAATCTAAGAATGTAAAATTTGAACGTATCCTGACCAACAGTGGACTGGATGGTTTGAAAAGTATTGGGCACCGAGTTAGTATGATTCATCATATAAGGTGTATTTTTACTTGTGTAATCCCGCCTTAGTATATTAGAACAAACAATAAAATAAACAAGCATTTTTTTATTATTCGTCAACATTTCTATCTTGCTGGGAAGATCATTTCCAAGAGTATGAACCTGACACTATGTTTTCAGGTTAATACTCAAGTTTTTGGCACAAAAGGTGACCTTTATGATCATCCAATTACATTGTAGTATGGATCAAAGATCGATATAATGTTTTAGGTGAATGAATTAGCAAATCGGTCAGAGGCTTTTTCCAGTTGTTCCAAAGCCGTGTACACAAATTGGTGTATAGTTGCCGCATTGTACTGTGGAATTATTCATGTCATTAGGTTTATCCGATTTTCAATAACGCATAGCAAGATCGTAGTTATTAATGGCTCTATCATTAGTTCATAACTGCAGTAGTAGAAGTCATTAGGAAACTAGTCATCGTTCCTTTCCTATGCATCTTTTTCAGTGAGGAGGCTTAATCACAGTTAGTGTGTATGAGGAATAACTGTTCAATATCACTTAACGAAAAATAAATCCTTAAGGTCATTGCAGGCAATAAAAGACCCAGGCTTCTTATGCAAGTGAAGTGGTCCAAACCAACGAGACAATTTCACAATTCTCATGGAGCCTTTCAGTAAAATTTTCTTTCCTATTGTTTCAACTATTTCCTTTTGTTGGTCGATAGACTTGCCTTTTCCTAGCATTCTTGGCTAAGCACATGCAATATTTACTGAGGAGTATCATTGTGTTCAGATTCACTTTTCGAATGGTGACTTAATCCAGCCACTAGCTTTTATTCATGTTTATAGAATCCCATGAATCTTCTTTCTGGCGTGGATCTCACAATCTATGCTGAAGCATGAGGCTATTCTTCTTTTTTATATTGTGCGAGATTTGAAATGTCATATATGTGGCCAAAATTTGTAAGTACGGTGTCTGGACTTATTGGAGTCTCTATACTTTATTGAATTCACTTTTTCATTATTGTAAATATCAGGTAGTCAAAGCATATGAGGTGATAGAGAGAAGCCTGGGTTTACTACGTTTCTAACTGCAAAAGTATTTTATCGCGGTTTGAAATTAGCAGTTTCGCAGATGTTGTGAGCCTATTTTCTTAACTATCTCGCTCTGTACTGCAGTTCATATTGTACGTGAACTGAGTAAATAAAAAAGGCAGTTTTAGTGGGTTGCACCAGTGTCTCTTTCTATGTATCCAATGATATGGTCAAGTACAAACGTCAAGTAAATTGATTAGTAGGCCATTTCATTGTAGAACACTGAAATAATGACCTGAGTCCTGGTAAGTAGTAAGCCTTCGTACAATTCTGACGAGATGCGGTTAGCTGACATCAGGGTGTACTGGAATGTTCACATTTACACATAGACCTTTGAGCTACAACCCATCATTTCATCTTATTCCAAACCCGAAGAACTAAACAGGTTTCAGACATGGTTGTGCGATTATCGACCAGATATTCCCCCCTCCGAAAGGTCCTAGAAACGAGACACACTCCCACCACCAGACACTGGCTGTACATGTCAACTTAAAGGCGACATTTGACTTTATCAGTTCAGAAATCTCGCAGCAGCGTTTCACTGAAAGGTGACACTTCCGGAATACCAGTCAAATAAGCAAATAACGGTGATCACCCGCTACAACCGTACTCAGACAACCACTTATTTCTGACCAGCTCAAACTTCAGACACAAAGAGACATTATCTGACGCGGCATCCACCAAGCTCAACTCAGTAATAGACACACGTAGACCACATTGCTATCAGTCATCTCTGGATATGGTTGGTGGGAGAGTGCCGCTTCTTCTGGAGCACATGTTTGGACATCAACCATGCGTTAGTTCGGTCACGTGTGTATCTGCACCTAAATTGACATAGAATAACTTTATCAACAAGACCAGTGTTTACTGAGCTGGATAATGAGGAGTCTGAGACTACTTTCATTGAAAAACTGGTTAAACAGGTATCGGAACAGAGCAATGTCACTCATCTGAAAGAGGCCTGGATCCATCTTCTCTCTACTGTTAGAACAACCATGAAGATTATAGCCGACTCAGAGAGTAATAGTCAGGAAGGGCTAAGGGATCTCATCAACTTCTTCCGAATTAATGGGTGTTCATGAACTCAGCCCCTCAGGCTCCGAGGAGAAGATGCAACTCAGACGTATGCTGACGAAAATTCTACGCTAACAGCGGTGGGTAGCGAAGGCTAAAGAGATGAAAAATGCAGTGGTTTAGGCTTATTGAAGAAACTAGGACGGAAAGGTTAGTGGTTAGTGAAACTATAGAAGAGAGGGATGGGCATGTGATTCATTCGCAGGAGAAATGACTGGAACGATGGGGAGGGGGATACTTTAAGCCACGGTTCAGCTGGTCCTCAGCTACTATTCTATTGTTCGCTTTCCGGTCGGATCCTGAATGGAACACTAAGACAGGACTCTTAACAGTAACAGAAGTTGAGAAAGTTGTAGATAACATGAAACAAGGCAGAGCAACATGGCCAAACAAACTAGTTTTAGGGGTATTTGACGATAGCGATCAAGGATTTTTAGTCAAGTTAATTGAAGTGTTAACTAGTGTATGGGAATCAAATACGATCCCGTATGACTAGTCCCAATCGTTGGTTGTCCCAGTTTTCAAGGAAGGCGAGAAGTCTTCCTGTAATAACCAAGAAGGAATCAGTTTGACGAACATAGTGTCTGCGATTGTAGGTTCCATAGTAATTGAATGTTTGAGTGAAGCTCGGGAACAGCAAACGTGAGAGAATCAGACGAGCTTCGGGCCTGGTTGGGGAGGTACCAACCAAATATTTACTCTTCACCATTTCTGGGACACAATCACACCGGTGCCAGACACTATCTGCATTTCTCGGCCTGAGGGCAGCATTCAGTCTCGTCGATTGAGAGGTCTTATGGCAGTGTCTCATGGAAACGAGTGCTGAGTAAGTACATCAAAACACCCCTAGACCTATCAGAACCTATGGTGAGTTGTGTACGTCAAGTGTTGTTCGTCAAGGTTGTCCACTGTCTCCATTCCTGTTCAACTTTATCGTATAGACGTACTTATGGAGGTCTCCCTCTAGTCGTCTGACTTCAAATATATTGACCTAATCACTGGAGAATCTTTGGTAGATCTGAAGTACGTAGATGATATAGTTTTGCTAGGTGTAGATGTTGACAAGATGCAGTCTTATAGACAATTTGAGAATTTTTGTGATGCATTTCTTACTGTGAAAATTCAGACTGCTCCTCCAGGCCTGGTCTTCAGTAGTGTCCTGTTTAACATTAAGGAATAAAATGGTTGAGCGCGTTGACCACTTCACTAAACCGGGAAGTTGTACCAGCCTTGGTGAGTCAGTGGCACACGAAACCTCTGCACAGATACAAAAGGCTCGATTGACAAGGGTTCACGGGTTCAAACACTGCTTCACCTAATGAGGTTTTGGCAGCCAAGTAGTATCACTAACAACCCCCACACACTAGAGATGGCTCATTGCATACTGCATGAATGTGCACAAGGTTGACAAGTGCATTCCATTCCAAGCATCTATTACTTGACACTATTGTTTGTATGATTGTTTCGCCTAACCAGGTGTTGTCAGTTTGAAATAACTTGTTAGTGTACATCATTTATGTAGATTATCATTGCATCCTGCCTTCTTTAACTCTGTCTGACTGTTTTATTGTCCACCATTGTTATACAGTTGTCCAGTATCACCACTTCAATTACACATATAAGGAGCAATCAAATGTCTTATTCGTTATATAACATCTGATTACCACTGATTTATTAGCATACAAAGTTGTCTTTATCATCTGGTGGCAAATGGTTATTATTCATTATCAATAAAGTGTCTTTGTTTGTCTTTTGTTTTGGTAGATGTTCGTAAATTTGACGTCTGGAGCCTTGTTCTTCGCATCTGGTAAAGTTGTACATGGTTTTGGAAGAGGATCAAAGCAACTCGGTATCCCAACAGGTATATTTAATTATTCTGGTCGTGTCATCAACTCTTATTTTGTCTCCTTTTGTGGAATATAGCCAATCTTGAAGAGTCAGTCGTTGACCAAATTCCAGTGTCAATTGAAAATGGGATTTATTTCGGTTGGGCTAAACTCGCCAACTCACCAGTATACAAAATGGTTATGAGTATTGGATGGAATCCGTACTTTAAAAATGTTAAACGCTCCATGGTTAGTGAATTTTGTTTTTAAACCTTAACTCTAGCTCTATTTTAGGAAGTTCATATACTTCATAATTTTGAAGACAATTTCTACGGTGATATAATTAAGCTTATCTCTGTTAAATATTTTCGACCTGAACTTGATTTTCCAAGTATTAGTAAGTTCATTTGTATTCCATCATTTATCTGTTTTAATCCTAAAGTGGGTCATGTTAAGAGTTAGGCATTTCACTTAAGCGTTTCATTATAAGCCATAATTATCTCAAAACCACATAACTTTACAGATGCACATATATTTCACAATAGCACAGAGTTAAGATCCTGATAAAGTACACAACTTTCTAAACTCCTCAAGGCAAGATTCAGGTGTGTTTGGCGTACTTTCTGCAGTTGTCAGATGCAAGATTATACTTCACGATTGGTTTGAGAATAACATAAGAAGTATTTGAATATATTGTTTAATTCACGTACTTGTGAAGTTTCATTGACCCTACCTCACTAGTTGCTGGCGTGATCTGAACACGAATACAAAATGGTCAGCTGAATGTACCTGCACATCTGTGAGGTTGAACAATTCGATCCAGTATAACAACGGAGAATTAAAAGTATATCAGCAAACAGTTAAAACATAGGAATCGTTCAAAAGTAAATGCGTATGGAAAAATATGAATAAAGAAAAATTCGGGGTATTTGTAGGTTTTACTGTTATTTTCTAACCTTTCTCGCTTACGGTATCCAGATATTCACTTGCAATATTTTGAATATCTTGAGCAGTCCAGTGATGTACCCTTTACACAGATTAGCCTAGTATCCACTGACTTAATCGATTGAGCCCCTCACTATAGTTTAAGTACATAACTCTTGTGTTAATGTAAGGTTGTATGCAAGCACATGTAAGTCAAGTCGACAATTTGTTGGGTTGATTTTTAAACCTGAGCAGTCTAGTAAGTAACCGCTTATATAAGAGGTCGACTGTCAACCGTGTCCCAGCACCTCTCTGCCTATCAATGTTTGAACATCCCCTACATATGAGGTGTAGCTGATTGCCCAGTACATATAACTGCACATGTGGTTACTGAGACCATATTACTGCATAGTACTGCAGTCAAGTATCAACCGATCGTGTCATAGGTTCAAGATCATTCTTTCTATTTTCGTGTAGTATCAGTGGCTCTCATTCAGACAGGGTTCATGGTCACAAGCATACACGACTTCACTGAGTTGTCTGTTATGGAGTATTGATAATACCTGCTGTGAGCTTGAAGTATGCATCACAGATATTTAAGTACATAGTCAGTTTTTTCTTTCTCAGCTGTTTTCAGCTATTTTTTGAGCACTTATCTTTAACTAAACGATATATTCACTAATTGAAATGAGCTGCTGTTGAAATGCACTTTTTACGTCTAGCTTCCCTTCAATAATGAAGTAGACAGAAAGAAAGAAGGGATAACTAAGGATTCACAATTGGACCCCTTGCTTCATGTCAAAACCAGAGAACACTTACATTAGCAAAATGATCAACCGCTTCGAAATTTATAAGTGACACGTAGATGACACTTTCGTCATCATCTCTAATAGTACAAATAATCTAGAAGATATCCTGTCTCAATTTAATAACTGCCACCCTTCAATCAGGTTCACATTAGAGAAGGAACTTAATTCTAAGATATCCCCCTTTTAGATGTGCAGCTAAAAAGATGAGACAATGGATTATTTGAAAGGTTTATCCACAGAAAACCCATATGGAATGGACAACTCACGAATTTTCATAGTTGGGTGCCTCTATGTGCCAAACGAAATCTAATTCGCTCTGTCCCATAGGGCCCATACTATCTACAATCCTGATACTTTGAAAGATGAAGTTAATTTTTTCAAAAATGTTTTGCTTGAAAACCAGTATCCTGAGCGTTTGATTGCTAAAACTATGATACTGAGAACAAATAATCATTCCACTTCTGCGACTGTTAAGAAGCCTCTTTTCACGAGCCTACAGTTGAACGGAAACACATTAGCAGGTATGTTCAGAAGCCGTCTTGCACGCTCATTGGGAGAGAGAGACATTCTATACTGTCAAACTCAGATTAACTTTCTCCACTCACCCATTCCTTTAATTATATGTAAAGGATAAGCTAGCTCCTATGGAGTAAGGTATTTCGGCCATACTGAGCGTTCACTTCCCAAACGCATTTCCGAATAGATACCGGCCTGGTTCCGCAAAGGAGAATTGAGGACACTTCACAGCTCTATTTTAGAACATTTAATAGATTATAACCACCTGGTAAATGCAGAAAACAACCTCAGCGTCATCTGTAGAGTTCGTTCACATCTCGTGAAAGGTGTACGCCTAAAACTTCCTCAAACTGTGGAAGCCATGGCAATTAATATTTTGAAGCTATGAGAAAATTTTTTGCCTTCAAAAATCTTTCCATTCAGGCCTTCTCCCACATTACATTTCTCCACTCCTATAATTCTGATTTCTGTTTATATTCACCGTGTTACATAATTCAAGTTAGTAGCTTGCTAAATCTCCTCATTACTATTCCAAATAATGCGTAATTCTTTTCTTTTTCCGATCTCCTGACTTATAATTAAATGGTAACTTCTTCCAAAATATTTCATGAAACATTCCTTTTCTGTTACCCTTGTGAACAGAATAGTTATATGCGATTGTACAGCTTGAGAATGATATCGTTGAAATGATTGACTCTTTGCCATACGTATTTTGTCTAATGATTTCATGGGGATTTTTAAACTGCTGAATGCATTTCTTGTCGTCAGTGTGACATTCAAGCATAGTGGAAAGAAATTCTTGAAATGATTATATCCTTTTGTATATGCCTTTGGTTTCGCATACGGCGAAAAAACATATGTGTAATCGATTTATTCACCTGTATTTCTAAATACCGTGCATATTATTTTGTGTGTGTTATGCTTGTGTAGATAACTGGGATTGTTCTAAGTCTTACTGATTTTACAGTGTAGCCATTTGGATTAGATACATTCATTCTTTACAATACGCACCAATGATACTATCTGACTGTACAGATTCTGATTGGTAGACTGGTGTCCATAATCGTAAAGCAGTAAGTAAAGATTGATCGCCATAACCAGCGATTGACAGCTATATAAGGATCAAGTCATGTACCACTTTGTCGTTAGTGTACTACATTGGTTACTTTGTACAGTATGTATCATATGGAACTGAATGTGAACTCCAAGTGTCTTCAACCTGACGTTTTGTAAAGATATTGTGTACTCGTAGTGTAGTGTATAAGAATACCTACTTGACAGTTAATTTTGTGTAGATGGACTTTAAACATACAATTTGAAGTTGAGCGAACACTGGCTTACAATCAACAATAACCTCTGATTAGTTGTCATAACCTACTTTGAAGTGGAATAGCCTGCATTTTAGAATTCTTCTATGCATTGAATCTACGCTTTATATCAAGGACATTGGTGTTCTACTTGTTAATACTCTTCAGTTTCATTGTATCTTTAGTTATATTTCGGATTTATAAGTTACCAAGGTTATTCAAAAACCTCCCCTAATTTACTAGTTCACTAGTTACTAACCAGTCCTAAGCCCGGATAAAGAGGGAAGGTTGGGCATAGGGCTAGCAACCCTACCTCGTAAAGCCAATCCACATCATCCTGTACAGACTGAAAAATGCTCTTGATTCAAAATTACTACCGGAACAGTTTGCTGGCTTCAGGAAGAACAAATCATGTGCGGATCAAGTTGCTACGCTACGCATCATCATAGAACAGAGCATAGGATGGCAGTCAACTGGATCGTCACCTCAACTTCATCGATTTTGAAAAGGCCTTCGATAGCGTCGACCGAGAAGTAATTTTGCAACTGCTTCAACACTACGGTTTTAGTGCCACAATTCTTTATCAACCTCATTCAAGACGCCACATGCCAAGTGATCCACAATGGAAAGATCAGTGACGCCTTTGAAGTGAAGACAGGAGTAAGACGGCAAGGCTGTCTACTATCACCCATGATCTTCCTCATTGTGGTCGACTGGATCACGCAGCGAGCAACTGTGAAGAGCGAGAAGATGGGCATTGGCTGTCTGGATAGATGAAAAGACGCAAGAAGAAGATTTGGATTTCCCCGGTGATGAATTATGTCTAATGTCTTGTGGCACAAACTCAAAGATCTGCAGTCAAAAACTAACAAGTTCGCAGAAGAGGCGAGGTGAGGCAGTGAAGACGGGACTTCCTCCAGGTGAACATAGAGAAGAAACAACAACAAGCACCAATCACCATCAATGAGAGGAGTTTAAAGGAAGTTATCTCTTTCACCTACCTAGGCAACGCAGCATCGTTTCAACTACAGACGGCACAGGCACAGATGAAGACGTCAAAGCCAGGATTGGAAAGACAGCAATACAAGCCTTCATTAATCTGAAGTTAATCAGTGTGGAGATCTACTGCACTACACTGCACTGAACCCAGCATAAAGCGTAAACAAGATCCAGATTTTCATCACTAATATCAGTCAAGTCAGTGCTTCTACATGTGGTTCAAAGACGGCGGCGCGTTACGAAAAGCATTTGCAACAAACTAAAGACATACACCAACAACTACCGCATACACTCACTCGATACTGAAGATCAGATGACTACAAAGAATAAGGAACAGGGAACTCTGGTGTGGCAACGAGCCAACGAGGAACCCAACGCCCAACAAATATACAGTAGAAGAAAGTGGAGATGGATTGGGTTGGGTTGGGTTGGGCATACACTGAGAAGACGGTTTGTGGACATCATACGCCAGGTCAGGTCCTCGAGTGGAATCCAAAAGGGAAACGACGAGTTGGGCTTCCGAGGCGAGGGTGACATGGAGGAGATCATGTGAGGAAGAAATGAAAGCTTGTGGGCAGTCTTGTAGCGAGGTTGAAAGACTGCAGAGAACAGTGTACAATGGAGGCGTGCTACTGAAGCCCTATGTTCTACCAGGAACCCAAAGGAAAATAATAATAAGGTTATTCAAATATAGACTCCATAAAGCTTAGACATCTTTTATTCACCCTGAAGATGAGTCCAGGCTGTATTCTTTTGCGCAGTCGACGAAAAGAAACCTTCATTTAATCATCCATCTGAAATGAAAACATTCTTAAACCATTTGTGTTCACAAAGATGATAGACAGGAGAAGACTATGGGTATGGAAATTTACGCCAACTCACATCTTGTTTAATCTTATATTCCACACTTTGTTCATAGGCTTAAACAGTCAACTTTGATGGTGTAACTTATGGATCTCCGTCGTCGATTGGTTAGAATTGATTGGCAACTATTGGCACGATATTGCCTGTATTTTCCAAATTTGATGTGATTGATGGGTCGTGGCTAGCAATGGAGTCCAGGACGCACATCTCGCCCTATTTGAGGCTCAGCAGTTGGATGTGCTTGTCTCCTAGTAGATGTTGTTCTTCCCACTAAGACTCGAGCCCAGGATCAAATGCACAAGCTGTACCAGCAAAGAATATGCTATATACGTTGTACAAGGAGTGGCTATCGTTACTTATTGGCCTAGTTAATAGCGATCTGGTGTTTGAAGCGACTATTCCCGAGTTTGAGTTTTAGTGGGAGCAACATCCCTTACTAGAAGGCAGGTAAATCCAGCTGATGAATCCCATCCAGTAGGACAAAACGCGCTTTCTGGATTCCACTACTATACACTATCCTTCAATAATATTAACTAGTTAACTTTTAAGTAATGGGTCCTAAATTCAATTTCCTCTCAATCTACTTTGACCTGAACAACAGTTGTATTATGGATCCTTATACAAACAATAAGTGTAACCCATAGTTTAATGGAGAAATTTGTACTAGGTTGAGGGGTTGCCTTGTTCAATGCCGTCATTATTATCTCCAAGTTATATACGAGGAGATTGTGTCTATAGAAAATACTTTACTGACGAGCGATTGTTTTTCATTGAAGTCAGCAGTTTTGATGCATTGATTGGTGTTAAGGAAATAAGATCATGAAGATGCAGTATCATGTAAGATTCGTAACTGTTTATCAGTAGATTAATGATGTATAATGGATAGCAGCGGGGCCCAGGACGAATGTTTCGTTTCATTTTAAACTCGTCAGGTGGATATACCTGTCTCCCAGTGAGTGATGTTGTTCCCACCAGGACTCGAACCCGGGGCCGATTGCTTTGAACTGCAAAGGGTTATCCACCAGGCCGCCGAGTTACGATAGTGAATGCTTGTGCAACGGGTATAGATTTAATGTTATTGGTCATACTATCCCGTCGTTGAGTGGATCGAATCTGATTGGTGTCCATTGGCATATGCGCTCCTGCTCGGATGCCTCGATATTACTCATAAAGTTTCGATTTCTTCTTGATTTGGTTACTAAATCTCTTGATCTCGTGATAATTCACAATGCTATTAAGACAGCTTTTTTTCACAATAGTCGGTATGAATTTATCGTATGATTGCCAAACTTAGAGTCATGGGTTCGACCCCTTGCCTGATCAATCACGGTATTAAAAATATGCATAGCTCATTACTCAATCCTTGTACACGTAAATGAATGCTGAATTATATTTCTATCGTTATGGTTTATTTTTACTTCATTTAAAGACACTTAAACAGACTGATGACTACTCTGCTTTTTTTTTCTTTTCCTTTTTTTTTGATAACTTGAGATGATTTGATTGGTCAAATACATTTGGATATCAGTCAGGCGAATACATTCCTTGATGAACCTGAAGCTTTATCCTGGAGTAGAAATCAACTGTTATTCAGTGAAAATCAACACCCGTTGAGCAATTCAACTAATTGTACATAGTGAAAATATGGTTTCACTGAATTCGTCTTTCCCTTCACTTAATAGCACTGCTACACCCATAAGTGAATATGAATATATATATGATTATGTTTGAAGTAAAGAAATTGAAATTGATTTGTTTGTACATTTTTGTTGTTTATGAGTTAAATTATTGATTTAAATTGATAAAGAGAAACTATTTTCTTCTTTCAATAAATTCTTTTGAAGGTTTTGTAGCTATAGATTAAAAAAATATATGACTTTTCGTGATGGTCAATTTTTTGCTGAATCTACTACTTTTTTTCTTGTATCAGAAAGTTAGTGCTCCGTATTTACCTCGGTTGGTATTCGTCTGGTAAAGTATTTTTACATAAAATAGAGGGATGTAATTGGCTGGCTCATTGGTTGGTAGGGTAGACCTTTAAGGTTATTCACATTTTTGATCGGTCTGGTTTAGAGTATATGTCGTACTTAATTGGTCTATAGATTTCTTAATCATCACACTGAATACTGATGTCACACAGTCTGGGGTGACTTCTGTTCAAAATTAAAGATGGCTGGGTTTAAACTATTTCAAACAAAAAATAATACTCAAGTACAACCTCAGTAAATGAAGTGAATGCCATTTCAGAAAGAATGAAAACAGACTGAGCAGTACAGGATGCAGCAGCGAAATGTTTAACCTGATTTATTTAGGAGTAAGAAATAACAAACGCATCAAACTAGCCTGAGGTAGTGAGCGTTTCACACAAGGTGAAAGTTGATTGGTCGATTGTTAGACTAGCTATTATTCACAGTAAACGCTGTTGTGGCATCAAGGTAGAGGATTGTACGTCGTCGATTTTGAGGTGAATAACTTAAATGATCACCTTAACAACTGTTGAAATGAAAAACTATCTTCTCAACCGAAACCTGATTGGTTGTTTCATCAGCTGCCAGGGTGACCTTTAAAGTCACTTGGCTCTACAACCCATTCTAGCAACTACTGAGATAATCAGTTCGACTTATTTGTTTTGTATAAAGACAGATTTCCATCAATCAAAAAGCATACCAGGATGCTGGTTTTGTAGCTACGCTACAAAATGATCGATAGAGCTCGGTTATCACTACGGCTAGACTATATGAAGTCGGTTAATCGCGAACCGAATAGCTTAGTGATAATGACTGACACGAGATCGGATATCACACCGGGCATCAATTCCTTCGAGGTTGTTGATGCGTGCCAACTGGCATGAAATCCAGGTCCTGCATGGCTTCCTGCCGATTACCTCCGTCAAACTAACAACTCAATACTTTTCGGGAGATAAAAGGTGAATATGTCTGTATCATATTTATATTTGTTTTAAGATGCAACCGATTTCTCACATTTTATGAACTCCAACTAGGCAGCATAGACCAACACTAGACAGTTTCATAAATTGATGAATTACTTGGTTGTGGCTAGCAAAGGAACCCACGATGCTCATTTCGTCCTATTTGGGACTCACTCCTCAGGTGGTTGTACCTGCATCACAGTGAGCGTTGTTCCCACTGAGACTAGAACCTGGTACCCATAGCTTCAAACGCCGAAGCGTTATCCACTAGGCCATTGAGGTACGGTGGCCAGCTCTTGTACAACTGCTATTAGTTATAACATTTTGTTGATGTGCCTGTAATTCTCCTTTGTTTTACTGGATTGTTATTTTGTTTTAGTTTCCATGTTAGCTTTCTCCCAGCGGAGTGCCATTTCAGTCATCATCTAGTGTTGACAGTATGTTATAACTAGGCGTACATAAAATATTTGTCAGCTGTATTATTTGATGCAATTTTATAGTTCTTTTAGCTGGCTTGCCTTATAAACAAACAGATGAAACCAATGTAGAACCTCGCACAAAAGTGTATCGGTTCAATTTGCCACATTTCACAGTAGTAGACAAAGAACAGATGGATAGAAAAAGACTCATCGAAGTCGACAAATTTTTATTACTATTTATTATTTTCCCTTGGGTTCCTAGTAGAACATAGGGCTTCAGTAGCACGCCTCCATTGCACACTGTTCTCTGCAGTCTTTCAACCTCGCTACAAGACTGCCCACAAGCTTTCATTTCTTCCTCACATGATCTCCTCCATGTCACCCTCGCCTCGGAAGCCCAACTCGTCGTTTCCCTTTTGGATTCCACTCGAGGACCTGACCTGGCGTATGATGTCCACAAACCGTCTTCTCAGTGTATGCCCAACCCAACCCAACCCAATCCATCTCCACTTTCTTCTACTGTATATTTGTTGGGCGTTGGGTTCCTCGTTGGCTCGTTGCCACACCAGAGTTCCCTGTTCCTTATTCTTTGTAGTCATCTGATCTTCAGTATCGAGTGAGTGTATGCGGTAGTTGTTGGTGTATGTCTTTAGTTTGTTGCAAATGCTTTTCGTAACGCGCCGCCGTCTTTGAACCACATGTAGAAGCACTGACTTGACTGATATTAGTGATGAAAATCTGGATCTTGTTTACGCTTTATGCTGGGTTCAGTGCAGTGTAGTGCAGTAGATCTCCACACTGATTAACTTCAGATTAATGAAGGCTTGTATTGCTGTCTTTCCAATCCTGGCTTTGACGTCTTCATCTGTGCCTGTGCCGTCTGTAGTTGAAACGATGCTGCGTTGCCTAGGTAGGTGAAAGAGATAACTTCCTTCAAACTCCTCCCATTGATGGTGATTGATGCTTGTTGTTGTTCGTGGTGGCGTTGGTTGGGTACTTTCATCACCTCTGTCTTCTCTACGATCACTTGAAGTCCTGTTTTCGCTGCCTCTTCTAACAACTTGTTGGTTTTCGCCTTTAGGAATTCGACAAATTTTATGAGAGAATAGCGAATTCGAAGATGACAGTTAGTGTCAATATATTCAATCTTAAGAAGACGTCAGGCAATGCACACATCCATGTCAGTGTGGCTGATTTTCAGCCACATGACTAAGAGTCCTCAACCACTGGTTTTTATCCTCTTGGGGACCCCATATCTTTTTATTTCCTAGAGTGATATCTACATGAGTTTATTTGTCGAATGTATATTTTCAGGAACACGTTACTGCAAAAATTATCAAGCTTCGATAAGAATTATACATCATAGGACATCTGACTTCTCATTTATTTGTTTACTACTGATCTACAGACATCCTTTAAAAGTTCAGAATATCATTCAAAAGACATTTGGCTGAACAAAAAGATATTCTTTTCCGTAATTTCATTCTCAGATTCTTCAAACCCTTGTTTATCTAGTATTGTTGCTTGTACCTGCTGCACAAGAAGTGGTTGTCGTCGCCTTGTGGTCTAGTGGATAACACTTTGACGTTTGATGCAACTGGTCCCGAGTTTCAGTCCCGGTGGGAACAAACACTCAATGGAAAGCAAGCACATCCAGCTAACGAGTTTCAAGTAGGATGGGACGCGCGTCCTACATTCCACTGCTCGTCACTACCCATCATTCTCATCTTCATACAGTCTAGTCAAAGGATAAATTTGCATTAACAATAGACAGGTTATTTCATAAATAATTCACCGGTAGTACTATATAGTCTATGAATTGTCTTCAGGAAAGACATGTACTATAGGCAATGTCAAAATCAAATATTACTGCAAATCAGTCAAAAATTACTTACTGAAGGGGGTAATACAATTCTGATAACAACGTGGATTTCTGTTATCTTCATCCCCGAAGAAATTTGTACAAGTCGATTGATTTCACTAGTATTAAACTATCCGATTACAGGCAGCCTACAACGTAATCAGTAGTCGAGGCATCTGCCAACAGATGTCGAGAAACTCACCACAGTATAGCAACAAGAGGTTACAGTTATCAGATAACACCTGATACCCATTGCACATGAGATGACTCTCGTATCTCATTTACCTAGTGGATAACGCTTTGGCGTTTGAAGCGATGAGTACTGGGTCCGAGTCCCAGGCGAGACAACATCACTCACTGGGGTGCAGGCACACCAACCTGACGAGTGAGTCCCAAACAGGACGAATTGCGTGTCATGGATTCCACAACCAGACATCAAGCAGACTACAACATGATGGATGATCGGGTAGTATCGAGACATTCACATAGCAGCCTATTCGCCATCACAGGTCAAGCTGTTCGATGCAATATAACAACACGAGATTACAAATATCATCGAATTACACATTCACACTCCACCACCTTTCATCCCCCTTCCAGTTATGATAGGATTCAGTCATATGAATTTCATCATCCATGTGAATAGGATTCGTTTTCACCTTCAATCAGGACTATCGAAATTCACCTCCGTGTATAATCGTTTACTTTGAATAACAGCTCTCTGAAATGGATGATTTTCACCTCTCTAGTCTTATGTATAATCATCTACATAGTTAACTATTTTAAACTGATTTACAGTAGTATTTGATTCTGACATTGCCTTCGACACAAGTATTTTATGAAGAGGATCGATGGAGTGCATAGTACTGCCGACAGATTGAGTCGTGTAGGGGAATATAAACTTTCTGGTTGCATTCGAAGCGATAACCTTGATATTAAGATTAGATTAGGACTTCCAAGGAAGTTTTAAGGTAAGGACAAATAGTTTTAGAATACACAAAGGGCGTTTGAACTTTTGTATGTATTAGGCTTCAATGAACCTAGGTATGCAGTCTCGACGACTCCCACATGATGGTCTAAAGACTATTTTGAAGTCACTAGTGTGATGTGGTTCTGTGTTGTGTTTACCTTTTGACAATTACACCTTTCTACCCTATATGATACAATGAATATAATTATCTTCCTAGACATTTAAGGATATGCTCTACCACTCTTGTCTTCATAGTTCGATTACTACTCACAGTGTGTCACCACACACACAAGCAAATTTGTGTACTCAGCGGGATGTGACGTAATCTTCTGTCTAGTGAAGGTTCATTTTGAAGCATAGGTTTTGTTTCCTCTTTAACATAGCTTGGCTGCATAGTATGCCTTTCTAATAACTGAATTAAGCCTTCGTTTTAAGATCATGCTATTTGATTCCCACTTATATGATAGCGTGATGTAAACGTACTTCTTTGGGACAGAATACTGGTTAGTTCTCACCGTTTGAGATGTTTTTATAACGACTGATGAGCTTTAGGGACATGTGTTTTTCATGAGTGTCTCTATTAAAAGACTTGATTCATTTTTTTAATGTATCTGTTGTAGAAATACTGATTGTTTATGAATAAGCATTTTACTAAACCCCGTTTGTACTGTATTGGGCAGAAACTATGAAAGTTTAGGTACTATCCGGTCCACTTAGGTTTTCTGTACACTGATCTTCTCATCAACTTACCTTCCAAACCAGTCAATAGCATGTCAAGAAAAGACAACTGAATGTTATTTTTTACTTCATACGATAAACTGATATGGCTTGAAATGGCGTTAAGTCTCTCTAAAAGGCTTAATGCATTCTCATGTCTGTTGCATCATAATCATGATTATCAACATAGGACCAGGCATTACTGCATAACGGTCCGAGTTGCCACACTTCATTTCAGCACCTCAAGTAAAAAGGCAGTGAAGTGCACGATGAAGAAAAGAAAATGCACTCAAAAGAAATATAAAGTACGAGGAGAGAGAAATGAAGAATGAGAAAATGGTGAGATTCGGTGTGGCGTCGTTAAGATGAGGACAATGTATGTATACATCTGCGCCAATGACATCGGTTCTGAGCCATATCACCTAGAGTCTCTAACCACTGGTTCATCCTGTCCAACGGACCCCAACCACCTAGTCTGCATCGCCTCACATGGCTCAAACCAACAGTCAGATACTTCATACATTGGTGCCATGTTTTAGTCTGGCCACCTCAGGCCTTTTTCCACCCTGGACCTACTTCGGTCAACATTGTGTGACGAGGCCATCTGTGACTAGGCATACGTAATACGTGTCCCAACCATCTCAGTCAATGAGGGTTCATGACTTTATCAACTGACTTACCTCTCCTCCCTAAAACTTTACGCCTGGTTACTGCGTTACTCACATGGTGATACCACGGAATACGGCCTATACCATGAAAGCAATGGTGGTCAAACACCTGAGGCCTTCTCATGTCTTCCACCTCCAATGGCCATGTTTCACAGCCATGCAGTAGGACAGAGCGGACTGCTGTGCAGTACACTCGACCCTTAATAGACAGTCGTATATAACGGCGGCGTCATAGATGGCGTAATTTGGCAGAAAGGCAGCCGAGCCTTTTGTATTTGTGCAGAGATTTCACCGGCCACTGAGCCACCAGGGCTGATCTTACTTCCCAGGTAAGTGAAGTGGTCAACACACAGCCACTGCACTCTCTATTGTTAGCCGTGGTACTGCTGAAGACCAATCGTGGATCAACAGTTTGCATTTGGGTGGTAAGAAACGCATCCCAAACATTCTCAACTTGCCACTCAAAGTGTTTAGAAGACTCTGAACCTTGTCAGCGTCTTCATCTAACAGGACTATATCATCTGCATATTCTAGGTCTAACGAAAATTCTTCACCGATTAGGTCAACCTCTGTGTTTCATATAACCAAGATATAATCGACATATCTGCTGTACGAAGTGACTTCGTTGATTAAATCCCCAGCTAAAAGTTCTACATGAGACGTATAGAGATAAGCTAACAATGGTCCTAAAGGACAAAACCTAGCGACACCAACAACTTGTCGAAAATGTTCACCTTTGAAAGCGAAACAACCTTATGTTTTACGTAGTAATAGCTCGTTCAAATATATTTTTTTGGGGGGGGGGGGAATAAAGGATCACGCAAGGGCATAAGATCGCAAAGAATGTTAGCAGTCTTTGTTCAAAGCACATTAATGAATCGGAAGAATACACTGTACTATCTTTGATATTAATTTTATTTATGTAGTAAGTTCTGAAGCATCTTTTAATGCAAAGTCGTATAACACATTCATCAGATAAACTGCATTTTCTTATTACGTTGGGCAAACACATCAACGGGAATAATCATTTCAGATTAATTTAAAACAATCCTTTGGTCGGTGGTCAGTCAATATGAACATGGGACTTGACTTTATTGCATAACGGTTCAAGTTACCGTATCTCATATCAGGATATCGAGCGAAAAGACTAGATGACAGATGAAGAAATAAACTAGAAAGTAATCAAGAATGGCAGAAAGTCATGAAGAGAGCAACTAGCAGTACGAAAACGATTAAATTCGTTGTGACGATTAGAATGACGGTAATATGTGGATAAATCTGCATCAAGGAGACCAATTCCCAGATATGTCACCTATAGTCTCCAACCACTAACTGATTTCGGTTGTCATGAGGACTGCAATCAGAAAGTTTATATTCCCCTACACGACTCAATCTGTCGGCAGTACTATGCACTCCATCGATCCTCTTCATAAAATACTTGTGTCGAAGGCAATGTCAGAATCAAATACTACTGTAAATCAGTTTAAAATAGTTAACTATGTAGATGATTATACATAAGACTAGAGAGGTGAAAATCATCCATTTCAGAGAGCTGTTATTCAAAGTAAACGATTATACACGGAGGTGAATTTCGATAGTCCTGATTGAAGGTGAAAACGAATCCTATTCACATGGATGATGAAATTCATATGACTGAATCCTATCATAACTGGAAGGGGGATGAAAGGTGGTGGAGTGTGAATGTGTAATTCGATGATATTTGTAATCTCGTGTTGTTATATTGCATCGAACAGCTTGACCTGTGATGGCGAATAGGCTGCTATGTGAATGTCTCGATACTACCCGATCATCCATCATGTTGTAGTCTGCTTGATGTCTGGTTGTGGAATCCATGACACGCAATTCGTCCTGTTTGGGACTCACTCGTCAGGTTGGTGTGCCTGCACCCCAGTGAGTGATGTTGTCTCGCCTGGGACTCGGACCCAGTACTCATCGCTTCAAACGCCAAAGCGTTATCCACTAGGTAAATGAGATACGAGAGTCATCTCATGTGCAATGGGTATCAGGTGTTATCTGATAACTGTAACCTCTTGTTGCTATACTGTGGTGAGTTTCTCGACATCTGTTGGCAGATGCCTCGACTACTGATTACGTTGTAGGCTGCCTGTAATCGGATAGTTTAATACTAGTGAAATCAATCGACTTGTACAAATTTCTTCGGGGATGAAGATAACAGAAATCCACGTTGTTATCAGAATTGTATTACCCCCTTCAGTAAGTAATTTTTGACTGATTTGCAGTAATATTTGATTTTGACATTGCCTATAGTACATGTCTTTCCTGAAGACAATTCATAGACTATATAGTACTACCGGTGAATTATTTATGAAATAACCTGTCTATTGTTAATGCAAATTTATCCTTTGACTAGACTGTATGAAGATGAGAATGATGGGTAGTGACGAGCAGTGGAATGTAGGACGCGCGTCCCATCCTACTTGAAACTCGTTAGCTGGATGTGCTTGCTTTCCATTGAGTGTTTGTTCCCACCGGGACTGAAACTCGGGACCAGTTGCATCAAACGTCAAAGTGTTATCCACTAGACCACAAGGCGACGACAACCACTTCTTGTGCAGCAGGTACAAGCAACAATACTAGATAAACAAGGGTTTGAAGAATCTGAGAATGAAATTACGGAAAAGAATATCTTTTTGTTCAGCCAAATGTCTTTTGAATGATATTCTGAACTTTTAAAGGATGTCTGTAGATCAGTAGTAAACAAATAAATGAGAAGTCAGATGTCCTATGATGTATAATTCTTATCGAAGCTTGATAATTTTTGCAGTAACGTGTTCCTGAAAATATACATTCGACAAATAAACTCATGTAGATATCACTCTAGGAAATAAAAAGATATGGGGTCCCCAAGAGGACTTGTTGAGTCTGTGTTCTAATTTCCCAACATCATCATGGATCAAATTATATATAAGTTCGTTATGAATGTGTCCAGTCGAAAATCTTCTCGATACTAGATATCAAACTCATGTTAACATTAACTTGAATGTTTTTGTCGTAGAGCTTTCTTCTTTAACCTGGTCATCTGTACATTTTACCCACTCGAACATAATCCTTTCGTCTGTTCACTTTTATGATCAGTGTCATTGTTATATTCTTAGACATTTTATCTTCTCCTCTTAATATTTATGAGTAATTATTGTCGACAGTCAAGGACTTACTAAACTTATCTATTCGTCTTACTGGTTATTAATTGTTTATAATAATCATAGATTATGTAGCGGTGTTTTTAGTTTTCCCAATTTCCTCCCTGAATTGTTGTCTTATTAACGGTGGTCAACTGTCACCAATTTGTTATATTCGTACTCATCAACTCACTAGTAAATTGCTTAGAAATGTTATCATATAATTGTAGGAGGGTTGGTAGTGGGGTTAGTTGAGAGAAGATATTTCTTCGTCCAATTTTTTGTTTTCTACTATAATGGTAAATTGTATTTTTTTTTACTGGTTCTGCGATCTCTTCAGCTCATTTATGCTGGAAGGCGCTCACAAATATATTGATTATTTTAAAGTTACAGGTTAATATTCATCATAGACTAACAATAGTTAGAGGAACATTGGAAACCTGAGAGCACTGGATAGCTGTTGTGTCATAGTACAGGGCTTCCTAGCAGTGTACACTCAAGACCCCGCCAGGGCTCGAACCCAGGAACTTCAGGTTCCATCGCCAGCACGTTACCATTGAGCCACTGGTTCATATTTGCAACCTTTGTGTTTAGTTTTCGTCGTTACTAGAGACTAAACAGAGGTTTAGATGAAAGAAAGGAGTACCGAACACAGTAGGGAAAGGGAAAATATAAACTGTTCAACTTTTCTTTAATACATCTGTCTACTTTACTGGAATTTTCGCTCATTGGTAACGGTAATCATTTCATTTTGGGCACTAATTTTAACACTTTTTAAACAGTGTTTAATTGTTTAACATTCAATCACTTTCTTACAAACTGATTAAATCGAAAAAATAAAAAAACTTTTGCTATCCGATAAAAAATATTGATTTTGAGTGTTAGAAATTTACAAATTATCCAATAATAATTATAATTATATAGAGTTTATTAACAAAACTTGTGATTAATCCATGGTTAAATAATAAGCACTTTGAAGAGGAGATAGTGTTGGTGACAGTTATCAGGTTCAATGTTCAATATGAAATAGTTTGAGAAAACATTTACTCCTCTGAACCATCTTCACTGATTTCTGAAACATTTTCAATAGAATTAATGCCATAAACCTTTAATTCTTCTTTATCCAGTTTATTACACTTTCCACTGTGTAATGCTGTAATTTTGGTTTGTTTTAAACACTTATTTAAAATATCCATTACATTTGGATGTGGCAAATGTGTTTTTAAGCCTAAATTATCATAGCTTAAAATTATTTCTGATTTCTGATTATTTTGTTCTTTCGTAAGCTTTTCCAATGGTTCAATAAAATTTTGAATGTATTGTGGTGTACCACGTGGATCATGCAGTTGGCAAGAGTTAGCCTGTTGTACAGCTTTAGGTAATTCCCAAAATCTTAGTTGATTTTCATTAATTTCACGTCTGTTCAATTGTAGTTCTTCCATTAACCAAGTCACAGTCTCTTTATCGAACATTTCATCAAAGGTCTTTTGAATTTTCTCCTTTTTAATTAATTTAACTTTTTTCACTGTATTCGGATCAATAAACACCCTGATCGCTTTCCATATTCCATGGAAAAATGGATTATGATTGATTAGAATAAATTTGCACAGGGTTTCTGGATAGCAGTCAGCAAACGTTTGTATAAATTTGCTACCAATTTTTGGGTTACAACAAGCTATAGTTAATCCTGTTCATTTTTTGATTTATATTCAGGAATTAAAAAATAAATCAAAGATGATATAAGCATTCATAATTGAATAGTGTACAACAATTGACAACTTAATAAGTATGCTTATTCCTTGTAAGCCATGCACTACATTCGCTATCTGACGCTTAGACTCAAAAAAATCAGCCAAATTCTACTCAGTGTTTATGAATAAGACGAAAACAAGTTATGACTTCAAAGATGGATAGTAGTTGGCAACGGAATCCAGGATGCTTGTTTCGTCCCACTTGGGGTTCGTCAGCTGGATGTGCCTGCCTCCCAGTGAATGATGTTGTTCCCTCTGAGACTCGAACGCAGTACCCATCGCTTTAAATATCGGAGCGTTATCCACCAGTCCACTGAGTCACGATAGCCACTTTTTGTACGACGAGTATAGTTTTAATGTTGTTACTTGTATTATGCCGTCGTTGACTGGACCAAATTCGGTTTACTAGGAAAAACATCGTTCGATGGCAGGCAGGTATATCTGTACTTGCTGACTCATTGGCTCACCTTCGTCTCTTCCTCTTTTCTCTTCCAGATTCTCGTGGTCACCACCAAATTTACACTATTCTACGTGCCCCCTCCTGCTACGAACCTATCTACAGGTTAGACGAAAACGTAACACCAGCCGGTAGTTACATTTTGGTGTTGGAAGCGGGATCCGGCTCGCAAACAACCAGACCGACGTGCACTCAACAGCAGCTATCCCTTCTAATGTAAATCACACCAGCTTCGCACACTATACCTAGTCTCCACCTCACTCAGGTACAACCACGCACCGAGGACAGTGCCTCCAAAAAGTGGGGAGTAGTGTAACGCATTCGAAATCTTACTCATTCACCTTCCAGTTTCGATTTCTAAACTGCCTCACCTCTTCGTTCTCATTCTCTACCATATGCAGTTATCTTTTATTGTTAAATGTAAATACATCCTGCGTACTTTCTGAGCCTTCGGCTCGCCTGTTTCTCTTCCTCTTTTTCCTTCCAGATTCTCGTGGTCACCACCAAACTCATACTGCTCTACATGCCCCCTGCTGCTATGTACCTATCTACAGGTTGGATGAAAACGTATCAACAGCTGGACGTTACACATCTAGCTGACGAGTTCTGGATTCCACTGTTAATCACCATCCTATTACCCATCAATAATATATGATTGAAATGACAAGCATACGCCAATCTGGGCCACGTTCGGTACCCCTGCGACGTTAGCCTCACTGTAAAATGTCGGGTTTACAACGCCTTTGAAACCTGGCCTCTCCGATATGAAGGTGTGTGACGACTCTGTGTATCCTCAACCATCGCTGTCTCCGTAGGATTCCTCGTATCCGGTGGCAACACCGTGTAAGTAATCTTGAGGTACGACAGCGTGTGTTTGGGCATGGTCGAGATCGTCATTCAATAAGTGAAGTCATGTTAAAACACCGGCTTCGGTTGCTTAGACATATGTTACGCAAGTCGTCCCAACGGCTTACACGCCGTTCGTTGTTTGCTGACCTTGGGACTAAATGGAGGAAGCGAAAGGGTGGTCAGTGTATGACGTGGCGTTGTCGGATGAAGAACAGTTGTATTGGGTTAGCATCTGTTGGTACATCACGACTCACTAGATGGGGTCTGATAGATCAGGCAACTCAGTGGCTTCAGACGTTATCAGATATGGTTTAGAATCGAAACCAGTTGCGGTTACAAACTTCATCAATCGAATCCAATCAGCACTGAAGACTGAACAACATCGCATTAGCCTATCTCTAATTAATGCATTTCATTCAGTCATACATAATGTCGAACACAACTTGAATAGCGCAGAGGTAACTTCAACACTGAGATATGGGGTTCGGATTACTCAGGGGTTATCAGTTCTTGTTAGGTTATTGGTGTATGTATGAAAAGTCGTGACTGATGAACTCAACCAAGTCAAATATGAAGACAGTTACTCAACGATGGCATTGGATGGAGGTCGTGCTATATCTTTAACTGACTGATAGAAGTAGGAACCACTGGACCATCGGATTCCAACCCACTGGCTCAATAGTGAAGTGCTGGTCACGTAACCTGAAAGTTGTGGGTTCGATCTCTGGTAGGGTCATGGTTGCGCACTACTGGGAAGTCCCATGCTAGGATGAAACAGATATCCAGTGCTCCCAGGTTTTCAATGTTTCTTCAGCTGATGTCAGTCCACTATGAGCACCAACGTGAAATTTACAGATGTCTTATATTATCTTGCCTATGAGTACCAACCAGCATGATACCCTGCTGACTGCTTTCTGTTACTCGGTATTAAATATGCAATACAACATACATGATGGTCAACTCATGTTTATTGAGTTAGTAGGTTACTTTTAAGTTATTTGGTCAACAGTTTTAATGTTAGATGGTAATTTAACTTGTACTTAACTCATGATTAAGTGTATAACGTTTATATAATAATTTACATTTTGAATATACCGAAAGCATCATATTTATCAATTCTCTTACCTGTACAGTCAACAATGAATATCAGCGTTTTCATTGAACTTTTAACACTTCTTCTTGCGTTTTCAATTAGATACACCATATGATAAATAACGTCGTCAGCATTATTTTTAAGTGTTTGACACTGTACAAAAGATGCATACATAACTGGTCGACCTTCAAGATCGAATCCAACTTGTCGCTGGTATAGTGCATGTATGTTTTTATGAGTGGAAAGAGACACAGAGAAGAAAAAAACAAACAAGAAATGTCAATTAGTTTGTTCGTTCTTTATTGTAATTTATAAAAGAAATAAACCGTAGTTTCGTTCAAATGATTTTATGCTTCGACAGAGGTAAGATTTATCAGCAAGTGAAATATCTGTTGAATGCAAGTGAAGGATTTTGGTTTGTTGTCTCTGTTAGTATTGGTTAAAAGTCTCAATAGAATGACACTGTGTTCCCGTGGTGTCTAAGTTTCTCAACTCTTTATCTGCAGCGTCACAAATACTCAACTAAAACAGTTCCTTTCTTATGAATATCATATTCAAAACTTTACATCTTTCTACTGACTTCCGTTATTCATAAATTAGGCATATGATAACCATGAGATCATTCTTTCCTAGTCTGAGACACTATACTGCTCTGCTTCAGTAGATGTATTCAGTATGCTGAAGATCATGTTTGACTTCATGTAGCATAGAAACTGTTCAAGGAAATAACACTAATTTCTTACCACAAAGTATGCAAGTGAATATATAACAACAAGTTGAATTTCTCTATAAACAGTCAGTAGTTTTAAGTAGTCTATTTTTAACCACGTCTAATATTCTCATACTACTTATGTGAATCGTTAAGTAGCATATGTCAGATACTTTTTAAACCATTAGTGTTTTGTTATCGATTGGCTTAAATTTTATAGTTTGGACACTATTATTATTATTTTTCCCTTGGGTTCCCAGGGGAACATAGGGCTTCAGTAGTACGTCACCATTTCACTCTCTTCACTGCAGTCTTCTCAACCTGGCTGCACCACTTCCCACAAGCTTTCATTTCTTCTTCATACGATCTCCTTCACGTCACCCTCGGACAACCAACTCGACGTTTTCCTTTTGAGCTCCACTCGAGGGCCTGACACTTGATGTCCCCAATCGGTCTTCTCAGTGTGTGCCCAATCCAATCCATCTCCACCTACTTCTGCATATTTGTTGGTTTGTCACTAGCCAGACTTCCTTGCTGCTTATTCTTCCTGGCCCCCTGATTTTCGGTATCGAGTGAGCGTAGGCGGCAGCTGTTGACGTGAGGAATGTCTGTAGTTTTTTAGAAGTGCTTTACATGAAACGCCAAGTTTCTGAACCATAAAGCAGCACTGATTTGACTTACATTGGTGTTGAAAATCTGGATCTTGTTCGCGCTTTGTGCTGAGTGCAGTAGATCTCCACAGTGATTTCAGATTGATGAGGGTCTATCTTGATGTCTTTCCAATCCTGGCTTTGACGTCTTCAACTGTGCTGTCTTCCTTAGGTAAGTGAAACAGACTACTTTCTTTAGGCTTCTCCCGTTGATGGCGACTGGGGCTTGTTGTTGTTGTTATTGTTGATTAGGTATCTTCATCACCTCTTTCTTCTCGATGTTCACCTGAAGAAAGTTCCGTCCTCGCTGGTTCGCCTCTTCCGTCAACTTGTTAGTTTTCACCTATAGATCTTCGATTTTGTGCGACATTAGACATAAATCGTCATAGGTGAAATGGAAATCTTCTTCTAGGGTCTTTTCATCGGTCTAGCCAGCATATGTCCACCTTCTCACAGCTTCTCACAGTTTGTTGTATGATCCAGTCCAGTCCAGTCCAGTTGACCACAACCAGGAAGATCATCGGTGATAGTAGGCAACCTTGTCTTACTTCTGTCTTCACTTCAAAGGTGTCACTGAGCTTTCCATTGTGAATTACTTGGCATATGGTGTCGTCATGTAGTTGTTGAATGATGTCGATAAAGGTTTGTGGTACTAAAACCGTAGTGTTGAAGCAGTTTCCAAATTACTTCTCAGTCGACGTTAACTAAAGTCTTTTCAAAATCGATGAAGTTGATATAGAGAGTTAACTATCATTGGGCTGCTCAGAATGTACCGATATGGAGCTTAATAGTCAAATTTCATTTATTAATACTGTTCTCATCTCACATTGTGAACCTTGTGAATTTCTGTTTTGTTTATAAGCTATATAGAATGTTATATATTAACTTTAAATTGCACATATAGTAATATAGCTTTAGTTTTGTCACTGTATAATTTTGTGAATATGTCTTTCAGATGTGAACTAATTTTTGATGTTGAAGTATTGTCTTGATGATGAATAGTAATAATAATGAAAATCATGTTGAAGACTTCGTATCAGCTACCTTCAGTTTCTGATTTCTAATAACCTCTTTGTCCATTCAACGTCAAGATTATGGCATAGGGTGGAAAATTTTTATCATAAAACCACTTAAGAAGTTTAGTAGTAGTTGTTTGGAGTGTGTCTCTCAAAGATACCTTGGCAAAGACTGGAATAGTTAATTTAGTTTCTTTATTTTGGCTGAAAAGGCACATTTTTATAAAATAGGAAAGTCTAATTGGTTATTTCAGTGTTGTTCTAGAGGATTTTAGAATCACTTGATTGTTTGCAGCTGCACTTTTTAAATAAAATGAATTAATTTATATGAGATATGTATTGCTAATTCGTATAGGATTCACTTAAACAAACAGTTAAACCAATGAAATGTATTTAACTGTAAATGCGTGTATATACTAGTCCGAAACATGTTTAAAAAGGCCATGTATATCACCAGAAGGTCAAAGATTCTGCCTGGAGTGAGAATCAACCAATAATATCCAAAGTATGCGTAGGTGTCAAAGTTGTTGGTTATTTTAAAATCGAGAAAATCGATATATCGTATTGCCATGATCATAAATGCTCATTAAATTGTGTAGTTCCTTCCGTTTAGACTGTTATAGTGGCAGCTAGGTTCAGTGATGAACGCTGAAGATAATATGCTATCACAGAATCTAGAATTTGATTTGAAGATTTATTGACGTATACTGCTTCTAATCTTTTTTATTTCAGCTCACTTCTCTTCAATTGATAATCTTTGCTTCAGTAATGCATACCTTATTCATTTGTATCCATGATTTATGAATTAATGCCCCATAAATTTACAACATCTTTTCAGCTCTATAATATAGAAATAAGTATGAGGTTGCTATTTGTTTTCTGAAGAAACATGACCTGTCACCTTGACAAATAACGGCATAACTACTACATTATTAATCGATATTTCCTTCAAACTACTGGCCAATAAAGATATTTTCTCCAGTAAACTTGGCATAAGAAAAACGATTATGCACTGTGACCAATTGATGTATAAAATTCGGAGTAAAATTGATAAAAATGACAAACAGCTTTAAGGTTTTTGAGTGGAGTGACTCATAGTCTCGCCTTTAAATTGGTTGAAAAGATTACTGTTCGAGCACTTCAAAAAAACAATCCCATTTTAAGTTGGAATTCATCATTGACTGACCTCAGTTGGAGAAACATTGGAATCCTGAGATCACTGGACAGAAGTAGGAAACGTAGACCGTTGGATTCTGACCCAGTGGCTCAATGGTAACGAGCTGGCCACGGAACCTGAAGATCCTGGGTTCGACTTCTGGCGAGGTCATGGGTGCACACTTCTGAAGAGTCCCCTACTTGGACGAAACAACTGTCCAGTGCTCTCAGGTTTCCAATGTTTCTCCAACTGATGTCAGTTCATGATGAATTCCAACCTAAAATCGATTAATAAACCTCTACAAACCTCTAGATAGAATTCCATTCTAGGTGAGATATTAGTTTCAGTGTATTGTGTGTGTTTATGTTCAACTAGTATGTTTGTGAGAGATCCATTATCTGCCTCGGCAACTTTCCACCAAAAATCGTATAGACTACTAAATTTTATTTAAGTAGTTGAGTGTGCATAGGACTAAAACCTACGTTTGTTAGTTTGTTGTTAAATTTCAGATTTATAACTTGGTGAAATTAGCTAAAACAAAAGAGGATTCAGAAAATTTGTCGATATTTTTTGAGCAAAAGACACAGTATAAAGTTAGAGGTTATTAGACATAGCTTTGTATTTTATTCAAAGATCCTTATGTAGTCCACGGAGGTGATACTTTTAGAAAGTGACTTCTTGAAGTCACTGGTTGATAATGGTAGCTTCAGTCAGCTATTGACTAAGTACTCACGTTTCTCCATATACTTACTGTTGTGTAACAACACCCCGTTAAAAATGATTTTCTTTAATATGACTACTTTCACTTTTTTTTAAAAACACCATCGAGGGATGAGTAAATTTCATGGAGATACACTCTATGTCTTTGAGGTACATCAAGATTTCGAAAGTATTTAGTCAAGGTTGTCTTGAGATTATTCTTCATATCCGATAAAATATACTTAGATGGGCTAGTTGAAGTTGTTGATTAATAAGGAATTTGGTTGTTGGACGATATGTGAATCATGATAATGTATCGCTTTTCCTTAGATACATCACTGAGTGGAGTAGGAAGACAATGTCATCAATGGCTGTTCACTAGGATCAATTAGGTAGCTATTACTCTCTTGGTTAAAATCTTTGAAATGTATTCAGTCAACAGTCAGAGACCGCTATTCATCGAATCAAGTGAAACTATACTATTATTTGTCCCTTGGGTTCCTAGGGAAACGTAGGGCTTTAGTAGCACGTCGCCATTTCACTGTCTTCTGTCCAATCTTTTCAACCTGGCTCCACCACTCCCCACAAGCTCTCACTTCTTCTTCACATGATCTCCTTCATGTCACCCTCGCCTGGGACGCCCAACTCGTCGTTTCTCATCTGGGTTCCACTCGAGAGCCTGGCGCATGATGTCCCCGAACGATCTTCTCAGTGTATGCCCAATCCATCTCCACTTCCTTCTGCATATTTGTTGAGTGATAGGTTCTTGGTTGGTTCGTTCCCAGAGTTACTTGTTGCTTATACTTTCTGGCCATCTGATTTTTGGTACCGAGTGAGCGTAGGCGGCAGATGTTGATGAATATCTCTAGCTTGTTGGAAACGCTTTTCGTGACGCGCCAAGTTTCTGAACCATATAGCAGCACTGACAACGTTGGTGTTGAAAATTCGGATGTTGTTTACGCTTTATGCTGAGTGCAGTAGATCTCCACACTGGTTTCGGGCTAATGAACACCTATCTTGCTGTCTTTCCGATCCTGTCTGGTTTTGACATCCTCGTCTGTGCCGCCGCCTGTAGTTGAAACAGTGCTGCCTAGATAGGTGAAAGAGGTTACTTCCTTTAAGTTTCTCCCGTTCATGGTGACTGGTGCTTGTTGTTGTTGTTGGAGGTGTTGGTCGGGTATCTTCATCACCTCCGTCTTCTCTTTGTTCACTCGAAGTCCCGTCTTCGCTGCCCTGCCCTGCCTCTTCTGTCAACTTGTTAGTTTTCGCCTGTAGATCTTCAAGTTTGTGTGACATTAGACACGAGTCATCGGCGAAATCCAAATCTTCTAAGATATTTTCATCGGTCCAGAGTATGTCCCTCTTCTCGATCCTCACAGTTTGTTGTATGCTCCAGTCCACCACATTCAGGAAGATCATATGTGAAACAAGATACATATATGTATCATTTTATAAGTTGTGAGGATTATCTATCGATTACCCCTTATCCTATTATCTTATTTCTACTCATTTTAATCTTGCTCTACTTTAAATGAATTTTCTTATTACTTCTACTCATTCCAGTGTCATCTGATTAACAATGGTTCACCAAGTTAGTTGAACTTAGGATATGATGACTCTTCAAACTTTCCATATCCATCTATCTATCTAGACGGTGAAATATTCAATGAAACAAACTTTAGTGGAACAGCTGTATTGTTTTACTTCAGAGAGAAAAATATGTTTCATTGACCGAGACTTAGTGTATTTTTCAAACAGTATGTAGATGAGTTCATTATTCAGTCTAACACTCTTTGGCAAACTCATTGTTTTAATACAAAGTTTTAAACCAAATTTTCTACTAGTCTTTACATTTTGAAGGAAATAAAGTTGTATTTTATATATGTCATGATAGAATGGTATGTCATTATCACTATGTTCAAACTTTAATGTCAGTTTTATCGATGAGTGTAATGGTGCTTCCATATTGAAAGAGCTGCTTCAGTTAATAGTCTTTATTTTAATTGGTTGATAATTGAGGTTAATACTTCCTTTATCCACAACTACTTTAAGGTATCATCAGTAGATTTGAAGTTGAACCATGTTTTCTATCAATCACAGTCCAACAGCTTCCTACTGATTGACTTCTAACACCTGTCTCTTTATATCATCTTACACTACATTTTGGTGGGAAGTTATACAATTAAGTAACACGGTTTCTTTCTATTTAAGAAGTATCAGTTGAGGTTCTTGGGTTTCATTCAGCTCAGTATTAGCATATTGGTTGAATCATGAACCAAGTAATAATTGTAGCTTATCAGCTGGTGACAGCAGAAAATATATTTCGTACCATTTAAAAGTTGTGAAGTAAAAGAAATATGACTGTATTCATGTTGGTGTTAAAAGTGCAACTTAAAACCTGAAATTCATCAGTTCGGGAGCTGAAACATTACGCACTAACCTGTTCGGACGTAACAGTAACCTACTGTCCAAATGTTATCACTTATCAGCTGAAACTGGTAGTTCATTGTAGTTCAAGTTGGGATTTTCTTGCACGAATGAATCAGTATTACAAACAGTTTTTTTATGGAAACACCAATCTTCAATAAGATATTGATGTGTGCATTTGAAGGGTAGAGAACAGGATGAAACGTTCACTTTCTCTTACAATCCCAGTCACTGTCAAAAGGATAGCATCTTTATCTTGTTACTTTTCGGAAGTACAATCGACTAAAAATGGACGACTGAAACTTTCATTAGAGATTGGTCAGAGGGCAGAGACCAGTTAAAAAAGGTTACGGATTCATTTTGACAAAAGTTTCATAGATAGTGAAATACCACGGTATTTGTGATGATGATGTCTAGTGTGATGTTGAAAGATTTACCATCCATCGTTTTACACAATCATTCCTACATTTTAAATCAAAACTTCAAGAAGTTACATATGTTAATTCTATATTAACCATGATAAGACCTTTTAAAAACTTACAATGGAATGAAATCCTGGTGTTTCATGACACCATTTACACTGAGTAGTTAATGGTTTGAACTCTCGGCGCCATTCTACAGCAGTCGTCAATTGTTTGAAAGCATCTTGGACTACATAATTTCTTGCCACAAGGAATCTTGTCAGTCTATAATAAAATAGAATTGAGAAGTGTATACAGAACTAAGAGTTTATATAGTAGACATTCTGAAGTTAGTGCTGATGATGTTGTGTCTAGAATGACAATGAAAGCTTCTCGCTTAAATCATCCAGTTCAGAGAACACAATATCATCAAAAACATCCTTTTTAGCTACAAATATTCTCCATCATTACAAAATCCTGTAAGCTGAACTTTTCAAAGAAGCTGATGTAACTTGTTTGATTTGATTGAGTGAACGTATTTTAACCAATCTTATTAGCCAGTAATGTAGGCTGACAACTATGTGAAGGGCTTACTTATTGCATACAAAAGTGATCGAAATAATGATTACATTAATCGCTTATCTTGTGTGTTCAACTTATCAGATATGTAATCACATACAAACAAACTGTCTAGATGACATTAATTTTAACAAATAGCCTTATATTCCTTGTGTGTTCAGTTCAATTACTAAAAAGACATTTCATTTTCATAGCTTACAAACAACTTTTCACACATTCTGTCATGATCATTGTTTTCTATGATTGAGAAAATTCTTCAGTCTTAGCGACTAACATGTTTTTATCTGTGAAGAATACTGCTACTAGATGTTTACTTTCAAGAAGATGCAATCAACTATAGTCACTAGGATAATTCCAATTTACTCTTATAGGGGAGACAAGGCACTTGATTCTCATGTTATAGAGTAACTAACCTCCTATTCCTTAGGAGTTTGTTCACCACTTCTTTTCAAATCGTTTCCTAGCATTTCGGCTAGAACATATGTAACTTACATCTATAGTTGAATGACAAAGTAATCGTTTTACTTTTCTGTTCATAAAGGTAAACATTTTTATGCTTATGACAGATATACACTGCCTAGTGTATCATTAAGATAAGAGTAGAACTTGAGCACTGTGATACAATCTAATTGTATTTTGAAATAATTTTGAAATAATTCCAAATCTCCATAACTCCCGAAAATTTAATTGAACTGGTGCTCATTGGTGACTAGTTTCGAGAAGTATTCCCGAAGTTCCAATGACAAGTCGTGACCGGTGGAGTCAAAGCCTGATGGCCATGAGGACAAATACTCAACGATGACATTGGGTGGCGGTTTGCGCTATATCGTGAGCTAACAGAAGTTGGAAATATGGAGCATTGGATTCTGACCCAGTGGCTCAATGGTAACGCGCTGGCCGTGGAACCTGAAGGTCGCGGGTTCGACTCCTGCTGGTGGGGTCGTGGGTGCGCACTGCTGAGGAGTCCCATACTAGGACGTAACAGCTGTCGAGTGCTCCCAGGTTTCCTTCGTTCCTCCAACTGATGTCAGTCTACAATGAATAACAACTTGAAATAGTTCCAAATCTCCACAGCTCCCTCAAAATTTAATTGTATTTTAGTTAGTTTATTAGATGTATCACACAGTGAAACAGTATAATTTACTGGATTACGCTCCCGAAATAGTTTATCGTCCATTGTCATATCAAGATAAGCACACAACTTTGAGATATCCTTTATATAGTCGTAATTTCCTTGGCCTCTTTATGAGAGAACATATATCCGGAACAGGTGCTGAGTCTTTCCAGTTGCATCTGTTAAGTGTTGATTCGATCTCTCCTTTCACTCTGCTATATTAGTTTCAAGGATTTTCATCCTGTCTCATCCTATTGTATGATTGTGTATAATTGCATTCACAGCTATGGCGAAACGTTTTTCTAAATTCCTCATCTTACTAGGATCTACTAATTTTAGTCTGATGAGGTTTTTTTTTTGCTCGGATAGTCTAATTGACCCTGGTTGACCACTTTAACCTATGTACTTGATCTCGCAATTGTTGTAAGGGATTCGGTAAACTAAGTTATTCTGCTTAATTGGATCAATAATATTTTTTCACTTACAAACCTAGTGTCTCCTCTGATTATATCCTGAAAGAAGATAAAACATCTTACAATAGCTACCTATCTCATAAACAACTTCTAGAATAAACCGGATTGTGTGTACCTAAAATAACACTGTCTTATAAAACTATTTTGTATTTAGGTGGATAGATATAAAGCGGTGATATTCAAGCAATTCTATGTAAAGCTAATTGTAAAAGTGGATCTTTTTGGCTATAAGAACTTTGGCTACCGACCAAATGAAGTTTATTTAAGTATAATTAATGGATAATATACGATAAAATATTGGCAACAAGATTAAATCATATACATTCAAAAGTAGTATACAAAGTTGACAAGATCATAACTATATCATAATAATAATAATAATAATAATAATAATAATAATAATAAATTTGCTTTATTCTGAACCATATGATATTACATCAGTTTATCGGTTGTACAACATTTTTAAAATTTTTATTAAAAATGGTGCTGTTTAATAATACATGACGAAAAATAACAGGATTTTAGAAGTGTTGAATGACTTCAGAGATATGATAATTGTTCTCTGTTGCAAAATTGATTGATAATCCTATGTCTAACATGATTTTCTTCTCATAACACACAAGCTAACTAAGGTGCTATAGTAGAATTCTTGTATGTAGTTTTACATGCATAGAGTTTAATATATTTTCCTCTTATCTTCCCTAAGAACAGAGATGAAGAAACGTGAGGATGAAGAGGATGCTTGTTATCAGATAAAATACTTTTAGCCAGCTGTTGTCTAAAAGAGTTCAAATGCTTATTCACGACCGAATTTATCAGCATGGTTAGCTGTTAACCACCTGCTCTACTAACAGCTTTCAAAATCCTACTCAATACAGCATGACCCTTTTTCTGGAGTCCAGGAAAGAATAATAAGTAAGTATAGGCAAAATATAGGAATTAATGAAACGTGAGAGTAGAGGCTGTGTTATACCAGATAGTCTGAGTTTCCTTATATGAAAGGTCAAGTGAGGGATTTTCCTGGAAATCACTAAGTTATGAGGGAGCCTAGAAGGATCAGAAGAAAAGTAAAAGCCAAGGTGGATCACGTTTGATCTATTCTCTCCAAGAGTTATGAAACTGAAGAAACTTACATAAGTTCTGCTCATATCTTAAGCCAAAATTAACCATCTGGCACTTGAAGGGGTTGAGTGTAACGCCATATAAGGAAGACCAGTGACCGATTTCAGTTAATGTCTTAGAACATTTATCTGCTTAGCTAAACTAGTTCATTTATCACTAACAAGATTACCTGAACTCGTTGAATACATGTTAATCAATGTTGAATGAACTGGAAGTGGTAGAATAACTTTAAACATCACCCTAGCAAACTGTAAAATAACCAACTATTTCCCTTTATTTAGGGGAAAAAGCTAACGTCAGAGCCAAAATAGAGTAACTTGATTGGATATTTTTGTTGTTGCTACGGTGGCCTTAACAGTCACTTGTATCGCCTGTTTGTAACGATGAATGGACAATATATATGACTATGTTGGTGTCATGTGATGCTGAATGTCTGCACCCTTCACTGTTTGAATGTCGCTGCATTTTCCACGACAGACTTTAAAGGTGACCTTAATAACTACTGAGACAAGCAATTAAGTTACTTTATTTTTCGAAAAACCACCTTCTCGGATGAAATACCTAAACCTGACTGGTTATTTCAGCAGTTGCTAAGGTGGTTTTTAAATCACGCCTTTTACACCTTCATGACTGCATATAACTTACCAGCATAACTGCCGGCAAGACAGTAATTACTCGTAGAGTTTTAAGTAACAACCTTTCATCCTCTCTCCATCTGATAACAGAGAACAAAAACCAATGATATTCTAGCCATTCTTACGTAAGGGATCAGAGTGATACATATATGCAACTGAATAGCGTGTCTTCAATGCAAAATAATTGGCGAAAGTGAAGTAACTAATTTCTAGCATAGAAATCGGGATTCCATACAATGACCAATTTTGCTCAATGTATAAATAATTTGACGACTATGAGCCGTACAGAATTGATTGAGAAGTCGATAAAAAGCGCTTGAGCTCATATATACAATAATACTACTTAATAAGTCTTAAGTAGAATGTTTAAAAAAAATAGTACGGCCAATAATACTTGTTTGTTTTTTAATACCTAGTTTTCACTTTTATTTCTTTTTCTTGTTAGTTATAATAATAAGTATTTGAAAGCATTAAAACTCACGTTTCATCACAAGTAGCAAAATCAGGTTCATCCGGTAATGGAGTAAGAAAACGTTGAGCTAACTGACGAAGTTCCATTTTCAGATCCATTATTTGTTCTTCTGTATATTCTTTCCGAGAATTTCTTCGTCCATATGATATTTTCGATGAATTCTTTTTATTCATTTTTATTGTCTTGGAAAAATAATAGTTTGAAAGTTAACCGGTGTATAGAAGTGAAAGAGTTTCGCTTAAGAAATGTCTAAAATAATAAAAACCAAATGAAACAATGATGATTTTAAAGTGTGATTGTTACTAGTTGGACTAATTTGTATGTTTTATTGATTACCCTTGATAAATGTAGATAACCAACCACCTACTTAGTGTATCCTTTCATGAGGTGCTTTCATCGAAAGCAGTAGTTGTCTAGGGAACAAGTAACTTTGACTAAGTCCTGAACTCTTAACATGTACTTGACCAAATATTCTTTTTCTATGAACGCAGAAATCTCTTCATTTAAAAATGTTTTATTTTTGAGAAAATCTTATCTCTGAGCACAGAAAAAGCAATGACAATCATATATCACGGGAATATTCATCACAGACTGAAATCAGTTGGAGAGTCATTGAAAACTTGAGAGTACTGGACAATTATTTCGTCCCAGTACAGGACGCCTCTGCAGTGCATACTCCATAGGGTCTACCGGTGAACATGTTACCATGGTCATAATATAAGTCTTCTACTGTAAGTTAGAACTTTTAAACAACAGCCTTCAGACCTCATTTTTGATGGTCTGTCGGTCCCTTCAGAACGGAAAGTATGAAACGGTTTATTCATCAGATCAATGATATACAAAGGAACGGCTGTACAGAAAGTTATTTACGGTTGTCTTGGATATTTATAGGGGTTTTTTGAAGGGTGGTACGTGGTTGCTTTTGTTGTAACAATCAATCTTACATTCGGATTTATGCTTATCTTATTCTACTCGAAAGTTACGCGTCTTTTGATCAGTTATTAACCGACTTAAAGTTGCTCAGGTGTTTTGGAATCATCTCGACTTTGATATATCACACCACTAACACCGAGTTTCAGTATTTGAGCATGAACAGTTCATGAATACGGTGCCAATAGTTTACCTGATTTTAGTGACATAATTTCCATGACCACATAGAACAAATTATGGTAGTCAGGCATCTAAGTAATTTGGCCCTCAAATCCTCCCCAAATAGTAACCGTTCCCAGTGGTGAGGGATGAGAAGTCGTGCATCAAGTGTTCATCCTTACTGATAGTCGACAACTGCATATATCTGTGGCCAATAATTGAGGTATAAGCTCACAACTTCTTATACTTGGTGGTTTATTGAATTTTACAGAGGTACCAACAAATTAAGTACTTTAATTGGAATTTTACTGACATGAGTTAGTCTAAAGAAAAGATCCAGTAGGAAATAGTAGTGCTAATCATTCAACTGGTTACTTGCACAACCTAGACAATAGATGTTTGTCTTCATGTCTCAACAATTTTTTCAATTAATGAATCGAAATTTATGATTATATATACTTAGTTGTGGCTAGTTGGATGAGCGTTTCATCCTATTTAGGACTCGTAAACTGGAAGTACTTTTAGCCCAGTGCATGGTGTTGTCCTCCTGAAGACTCGAATCTTGAGACATTCGCATAGGAGTCCATATACCAATAGAGGTTGTGCAATTTGACCCAGTAAAGCAACGGGGAGTTAGGAATATATCAATAAATAGTAACGATTCGAAATTTATTTTAAAAACCTGTTGATACTACTTATAAGTAGTACGGATTTATTTATACATTTTTAAGGCTTGACAAAGAGTGAATGGACAAGAATATTTTTCTGTGAATGAGTGTTGAACAGGATTCTGGAATATTTGGACATGAATAAGTTGAAGACAACCTCATTGCTCATTGATGACCAATGATGGTGATGTTCTCCAGTCTTACTCGAATTTTCGTCATCAGGGTTGCTACCGTTCACCTACACAACAATAAGCCACAGCAGACTAATTCAACTGACGTTTAGAAATTACGGTTACATGAGAACTTTGAGTATAGTCTCACGTAACGATACTGTTGATAGAAAGGTTAATCCCTGATATTTCTTTATATTGTGATAGCCATTGCGTCTATGGACGAAGCCTATACAAGTTATTGTGTGTTTGGATAGTACCTGGAACAGTGTATTCACATTTGTTGAAAAGACTATCTAACGAGGTGATGACTAATGGATGTTTTATTCATCAAGGAAGTGGCTTCCACAGGGTCCCGAAATGTCAGAAATGTACTATTCTGTCTTGCTGGGACATCATAGATACATTTTTCTGTATAATACTTAACTTATTCAATGTTATCAGGTGTCTACTGCATGAATCTATCCGTGGTTGCTGAATTCACGTCTACTTCAATCCCACAGATAGTTGAAAACGTTGCATGACGCCTAACCGGTGGTCGAAGCTTAGGTATAACCGAGAGTATACGATATGAGAGCTATATACACCGCTCTATAATGGCTAAAATAACAATAGCTGGTCTAAATTTTAATGAAAACGCTTGACTCATTAGGTAGACCAAAGTCTGTTAGACCAGCTAACCTGCCTTTCCTATCCGATGAAGACTCATGTATGCAGTAAGTATCGGCCATGCACCAATCAACGTAATCTTGTATACTTGTGAGTGGTAAGTAAATCTATTTTCAGTGGTTTCTCATTATAACTCCCTTATGCTAGTTCGAATTCCTAAAAGGATGATCATTCAGACAAGAGTGAAGATTTGCTTGTCTGATAAGTAGTAATATGAGCGAAATGTATCTACAAGATTATTTGTTGACTACTTGTAACCGTCTTACATCTAGCGTAATGCACCACGATATCAAGTAATTTTACCGGGGCACCGAATTACATATGTGGTCTTCGGAATCCAGTCAGCGTTTAGGAATAGACAGCATGATACCATTAACTCATCTGTGATTGATCGATACGTTTAATGCAGGACATCATTGTTACTCTGAATATAGTGATAGTAACTCAACTAAAACGGTTAGTGTCTATGAGAATATCCTGTGGAGCATGTATAATAAAAGTAGGTAGACGTAGAAAAATCAGGGTTCAATCACTTTCAACAGCCATGCAACTTAGGCTGAAAATTAGTTGTACAATCTATGATCTGGAGATTTATAGGGATCAATTGATTTCAATTTGGTATTCACCACAGACTAAAATTATTTGGAGAACCATTGGAAAGCCGGGAGTACTGATAAGAGAGCCGTTTCTTCCCACTATAGGACTCCTCAGAAGTGCACACCCAAGACCATGCCAGGGATAGAAGCCAGGAATCTTCAGGTTTCGTGGCAAGCACCTTGTCCCTGAGCCATTGGGTCGACCCATGTTAGGGTCATGGGTATGTACTGCTGAATAGTCTTATACTAGGACGAAAGAGCTGTCCTGTACTCCCAGACTTCAATGATTCCCCTACTGATGTCCGTCTATGAGAAATACCAATTAGAAATCTAGGATCTATTCAAATAATAACAATCTTTTTTCACTTCCATCGTTTCATATCCTCCTATGAAAAACCCTTCTTTCTTTTTCTAGTAAGGATAAAATGGAATTAATATATATATATCATAAAATGAAAGATAACTAGTACGTTCATTTCCGGTTTATAAATGAAAATCAAATTGTGTTTCTAGAAATTACACTCTCTTCTATTCCAATTAACTTTTAAACAAAATTTCAGTAATCACTTAACTATTTAACATAAACTGCGGTTTGTATAACATTTCTGGATTGATAGGCTTATAAAACAGTTTTATTGATTTTAAATTTTATTTCAATATGGAGTGAAATGTATCAGAAAATTATTGAAAGTCAGGAAAAATTCAACAGAGCCGTATGATTCAATTTTTTCGATCCTCAGTATGTGTGCGTGTGTGTATGTGTGCACAATTCATTGTGTCGATTACTCAGGAATATTCAGTTATCTGGGTGAACAGCTTACTGTTCAACCATTGACTTGGTTTGGCAATCTCTGTCAGTTAATGATATTGCACAACTGCTGTGGACTGACGCCAAATCTGAGTATGGAATTGGCCAACTTCTGAAAATTCAGCCTAAAGTCAGTCAACTGTTAGTTGTGAAATATTGATGATTTAGTCTGCTGGTTCAATGCGGAATGATTGATATCCATCGTTCTAGCTTATTGGCTGAGAAATAGCATGCCTGTTGGTAAATCTCAATCTTGTAAACTTGATAGTACATGTGTGTGTGTGGGTGTAAAATAGACATGATATAAACTGGAAGGAAATAGTAGTCCGTCTTATACCGATCCACGATGGAAAATAATTTTAAGGGATTTAAGATTCTTTGCCAGGAAATAAGACCATTTTCACTTCCGATTTTCGTAACAAAATGAGAAAAACACTAACTAACCAACTAACCGACTAACTATCCAACTAACTAACTAATTTTCTTATTTCCTTAATTACTTGCTTACCCATTTACTTATGAACACGCTGTATTCATCAATGGCTACTAGATTCCTACTTCATTATTTCATAAAATAGTTATGGAATCCAGGACGCGCGTTTCGTTCTGTTTACGACACATCAGCTGGATGTACCTGCCTTCCAGGGAACGATGTTGTTCCCACAAATACTCTTACCGGGAACCGACCGCTTCAAACGCCACAGCGTTGTCCATTAAGCCACTGAGTCACGGCAGCCACTCCTTGTGCAGTGGACATAGTTTGTATGATGTTTCTGGTATTATCCCTTCGTTGATTGGACTCAGTTGATACCCGTTGCATACGAAGTGGCCGAAATGGATCGATGGCTTAGTGGGCAACTCTCTGAGGTTTGAAACTAATGGTCCCATGTGGAAGTCTTAGTGAGAACAACATCATTCACTGAGAAGCAGGCACATCAAGCTGACGAGCCCCAAATAGCACGAAACGTGCATCCCGGATCCCGCTGCTAGCCAGTAGCCATCAGTAATATAAAATAGTAATGAATTTCAGGAGGTAGCTAGGGGGCTCAGTTAAATTATGATTTCAAACAGTAGGTATATTGGCTTTCGTATGATTGTGGTTTCAGACTGAGATGAAAGCGCAATTTATTGACTTTTATCTAACAAACATAACCTTCAACACCTTGGACAGTGATTTACCTGCATTTCACAAGTGCCATAAATGAATCTCTTGAGCAGAAATCAACTCCGATATGAGAGTATTAATCGT